AGGTGATTAATTGATGTTTCAGTATGAAACAAGAAAGATAGGTTAATTATTAAGGAGATTAAAAAAAGTTTAAGTAAATTATTTAAGTAGATAAAAAATTCTAAAACTGAAGGATATGGATTTATAGATACAAAGAATTCACTGAGTTCTATCATTATTATGGATCCAAAAAAGCCTACTCCAATACATATTATTATGAAATTTCAGAACTCCAACTGTGGGAGAATAGCAATTTTTGGAGCTCCCCCCCCCCGCCTTTTTAACAAGAATTCACTATACTGTGGCAGATAGTAAAATGGAACAGAATATTTAAGACCTTTTCTTCAGATTATATTGATGTATTGTGTGTGGAAAATAATGAAGGATATTAAAATGCACATATTCATATGCATTAAAACATGCATTAAAATATTCTGGGCTGGGGTTGTGACTCAGAGGTAAAGCACTTGCCTAGCATGCCTGAGGCCCTGCGTTCAATCCCTGGCACCACATAAAAGTAAACAAATAAAGGTATTGTGTCCATCTATAACTAAAAAAATATTTTAAAAAAATATATTCATTTTGATATGAAGGGACAAGGACTGTAATGAGTATCATGACATCTGCATATGTCATTGAGAAGTGGACTTTAAAGCATTTTTAAGGTCATGTAGGAGTTGGGGATGTGGCTCAGTGGTAGAACACTTGCCTGGCATGGGTGAGGCCCTGAGTTTGATCCCCAGCCCACCAGGGGTAAAAAAAAAAGACCTATAAAGTTTTTAGAAATGACTAGCAGTACATCCTATTTTGTGTCCTATTTAAAGTAATCACAGTAGTTTTCCTTAAACTGGTTTGAATCCTCTGGTTCTCCTGTTCTTTTTATCTTACCGTGGTTACTCTGGTACTTCCTGGAGAAAAGATTCTGAGACTATCATAATTGTTTTTTCTCCCATCATGCTAAGCAAGTGTTCTACCACTGAGCTACATTCCCAGCCCTTTTGAAAACTTTACGTTGAGGGACTAGAGTTGTGACTTAGCGGTAGGGTGCTTGCCTAGCATGCACAAGGCCCTGGGTTCAATCCTCAGCACCACATAAAAATAAATAAATAAATAAAATAAAGGTATTGTGTCCAACTACAACTAAAAAACAAACAAACAAACTTTACGTTGAGACAGGGTCTTACTAATTGACCCAGGCCAGCCTTGAATTTGAAATCCTCCAGCCTTAGCCTCCCAAGTAACTGGGACTACAGGTGTGTGCCACTGCACATAATAACTATTCTTATAAATTCTGCCAGGCTAAGCAAGCCCAGGCTCTTTCTTTGAAATTCTTTTTGAGAAATATACTCACAAACATGTAGTTCACGTCCCCCGACCCCCAGGGCTGGGAATCAAACCCAGGGTCTCATACATGCTAGAAAAGCACTTTACCACTGAGCTATACACCCATACCTGTAGCTAACAAAAAATAAGCCAACAATGTTTAAGGATTATTTGAGCATTGTGTTTAACAGTCAAGACAAATGGAGCTATAGGAGAATTGTCTGGAAACCTGTTCAAGTTTTAAAGGAAAATTGTCCTAATTATTAAATTATTGTCACTTAGTTCCCAAACTTTCTATATTTTGCTTTGTGACATTGGCAGTGAGCCTCTGCATATTTTCCTCCTTTTGCAGTTTGCATCTGCCAATAAGGGGTACTGCACAGAAATTGAAAGAGAGGAGGGGAGAAGTAACCTCCTTGTTTGTTTGTTGTTCTGGTCACTGATATTCCAACTAGTGTCCTTTGCCCAAGTATTAGAAGTTGGTTCTAGTCTCGATTCTTTTGGAAGTCCCAGCATTGGCCTCATCTTTCTTCCTCGGTGGGATCGTCAGCAGTCAGGTGTTTTCTCCCACGGGGTCTAAGCATGGCTCCATGAAGCACCTCCTTTGCTTTGTTTCTCTGTTTCCTCAGCTTTAGGGATGGTAGGTTCTAACTCATTTGCTATTTCTGGGTTACTGCATATGTTCCCTTTTTACTCTTTCAGCCCTGCAGTATTTGTCTAACCAATTCCTTATTTAAATTCCCTCTGTTAAAATAAAGTGTTTTCCTGACCAGATACAGAGAGACACAAGCTGATGTAAAGATGAATCTATAGATATGATTTGGTTTTCTTAGCATATGTAATCCTTTTGGATGAAACTTCTTATTCTCCTCCCATTCCTGATATATGACACATAATTTAGTAAATTTATTTTTTTTACTTTTATTTATTTATTTTCTTGGTACCAGGGATTGAACCCAGGGCATTTACCCACTGAGCCATGTCTCCAGCCCTTTTTGTATTTTATTTAGAGAGAGAGTCTCACTGAGTTACTTAGTGCCTTGCTTTTGCTGAGACTGGCTTTGAAGTCAGCATCCTCCTGCCTCAGCCTTCCCAGCTACTGGGATTACAGATGTGTGCTACCACACCAGGCACCCCAGCCCTTTTTATATTTTATTTTGAGACAAGGTCTCACTGAGTTGCTTAAGGTCTTACTAAATTGCTGAGGCTGGCTTTCAACTCATGATCTTCCTGCCTCAGCCTCCTAAGCCTCTGGGATTGCAGGCATGTGCCACCAAGTCTGGCTGCCATTTTCTTTTAGGGGCTTAAGTTTCCTCAAATTTGTATCTGAGGCAGGTTCTGGAACCAATCACCTTGGATACTGAGGGTCAGACAACTCTATACAATTTTTCAGAAAGGTCACATGGTGCCTGATCTCAACAGAACAAACAGAACAATAAACAGTAGGTAGTAGGTAGGGACTTTGAACCTCTTCCCTTACTGTTCATTATTGGACTCTGTTCACCAGAATCTAAGGGAATGCATTTGTTCTATATAGTTCTGTGTTCTGGTCATATGACAAAAAACCCAGTTGAAATTAGAATAAGCATAAAGAGACTATAAATTGTGTATCTAACTGAAAAAATCTTAAGAGCAGAACCTTAACTTCAGGTATTACTGGATCCTAGAATTCAGACATATCCAAGACACAGTCTCTGCATATGTTGGTTTAGATGTCCTCTGTTAATTCTTAGGCCACGTTGTGCTATTTATTTGTAAAGATGGCTGTTCAGTTTGTTCTTTGAGCCTGATTCCAAAGAAAAGTGAGACTCAGTCTCCCATGTTCCATGTTCAAACCTCATAGACATTGTTTCATTATGTCTGGGCCATAAGCTCATTTATAAACAAGTTGCTGTGGCCAAAAAGAGAAAATTAAACAATTGGCTGGGCATGGCTTTATTTTGGAGGTCCAACATCAATTATACTGCACTTAACCACCTGATGAGTTCCCATTAAAAAGAAATTCTACTACCAGAGAAAGGGATACTGGCCAGGTGTGGTGGCACATGCCTATAATCTAAGAAGAATGGGGCAGAAGGATTGCAAGTTTGATATCAGCCTTGGTAAACAAGTGAGATTCTATCTCAAAAGGGCTGGGAATGTAGCTCAGTGGTAGAGTTCCTCTGGATTTTAGGACAAAAAAGAAAAAGAAAAAAAAAAAGAAAGGAAGGAAGAAGAGAAACAGGGAAAGAGAAAATAAAAAGTTATACTGGGGAAAGTATTAGATGTTCACCATAAGTGGCTTCCTGTTTGGCCATAAGGAGGCATACCAAAAGTTGATCTTCAGTCAACTCAAGAATTAGGCTTAAAGTTAAATATAATAAAACCATTTGAAAGAATTGTATACCTTTTATTGGGTTTACGTTGATACCTGAAGGGGTAAAAATAAAACCATCCTAAACAATTCTAACAATTAGGTGAAGGCAAAACAATTTTTCCTACTGGTCACTCTAAGAGCACATTCAGCAACTACTTTTATGTCATTTTTCCAATTAAAAATATGAGACTCCTTTGGTTATAAAGTAGCCATATGAATTATTTTCATTCTCTTAGAACTTAAGTAGGAACATATTATTCAGAACTTTCTTGTATTTTAGGATTTGGCTGATGAACTTGCCCTTGTTGATGTTGCAGAGGACAAATTGAAGGGAGAAACGATGGATCTTCAGCATGGCAGTCTTTTCTTTAGTACTTCAAAGATTGTCTCTGGAAAAGGTTAATTTTAGTTTTATAAAGTTATTTTCAAAGCTTTAAAAAAGTAATGAAGTTTTACTAAATTGATGTTAATAAATATAAAATTAAAAACAACACTGTCATTAGAACATAATTTGTAAGTTTTTTAAAAACAATTATAATTGGAGTAAATTTGGAAAATATTTAAAGTATAAAGAATATTTGAATCTTCTGTTAATGGTTTTATTTACTTATTTCCCTTTCTATGCAATTGTTTTTTACTTAACCAACTATAATATACTTTTTAAACTTGTCATTTTGTCTCACATATTTTGTCAAAATAATGCAGTCTTGAGCAGTTTTTGCAATATTATTGATATGTTTCTTCATATTTCCACCTGGTTGTCTTTTCTTTTTTTCTTGAGTAGGCTGAAGCCCAAAATAAACTGATGGGTTTTTTCCTTTCCAAAATTTTTATTGGTGCATTGTAGTACATAATGATGGGAATTGTTACATATTCTCACCTGTTTCTTTCTGTGTTTATAGAGGACCAAATATGAAGGTATAGCATCAGCCCATAGAATATAGAAAGTGGAGAACTTGGCCCCATTACCCTTAACATCATGTGTTGACCAACTAAAAAACCTCAGAGTATTGGGGAAAAATTATTTTATTATATATCAGAGTGAATAGTACACTCCTTGGTAATGTGATTTAATAGATTACTCTCTACTAGCAATTTAAAATGTTAGAAACAACCCATCATAATCATTTTATTATATTGACCTAAAATATATACATTTATTTAGAAGTTCATTTGCTAATTTTCTAATTGTAGGATAAGGCCTTTCAGTATGTCTCAGTTGATTAAAGTTTTGCAGTGTCTTTCTCACACATGTCCCCCACCCCAGGGCACTTCACCATAGAACCATGTCCCCAGCCCTTTTATATAAATTTTTTTAAATTTTGAGACAAGAGTCTCAGTAAGTTGCTTTAGGGCTTCCCTAAGTTGCTGAGGCTGGCCTTGAACTTGTGATCATCTTGCCTCAGCCTTCTGAATCACTGGGATTACAGGCATGCCCCACCAGGTCCAGTTGTGGTGTCTTTCTTAGAGCCCACCAATAATGATCATTTTGATTTCTTTTGAAGTACTAAAAGAAATTTAAAGATACTCTTAAAGCAATCAAGTTATAAAACTCTACAAAACTTTTATGATTTTTCTACATTTTAATATTTTATACCTGAAAGGATAGTTTTTGAGCAATGTGCTTTTAATATGTCTCTCCAGAGCATTCAATTTAATTTTCATAGAAATACTTTTAGGTTTAATTTATCATCAAACAGTTGACATGAAAAATGAAATTAAGAATAATGTAACAAAGCTAGGTGTGGTGGCACACATCTGTAATCCCAGCGGCTCCAGAGGCTGAGTCAGGAGAATTGTAAATTCAAGCCAGTCTCAGCAGCAGCAAAGTGCTTAGCAACTCAGTGAGAGCCTATCTCTAAATAAAATAAAAAATAGGGCTGGGAATGTGGAATAATGGTTGAGTGCTCCTGAGTTAATCCCCAATATCAAACAAAAAAACTTTTGCGTAATTATGAGAGAAAAATTTATTAATCCTTAAAGAAATACCAGGTTACTTAACAAAGTGACATGTTTACAGAACAGGCACAGAGAGTTAAGCAGAGCACTCTAGCTAGTTTTCACCCTGATAGCATTAGCCAAACCTAGTAAACACCAATTTTGATTTTCACTGTCTCAGGATAGAGGAGGTCAGAGGAGTTGAATAGGAGATTACCCCAAAAGTCTGGGACCCTGATGGACTTCACCATGGATATGTAAATTTTTTTTTTCTTCCTTCCTTCCTTTTTTTTTGGTACTGGGATTGAACCCAGGGAAACTTTGCCACTGAGCTATACCCCCAGTTCTTTTTGTTTTTATTTTGAGACAGCATCTCACTAAATTGCTGATATTGGCCTCAAATGTGTGATTCTCCTATCTCAGCCTCCTGATTAGCTGGAATAATAGGTATGCATTGCCACACCCAATCAGTAACTTTTTATGTAAAGAGCCAGACAGTAAATAGTTTAGGCTTTGTCAGCTATATGGTCCATGTCTCAACTATTCAGCTCTGCTGTTGTAAAGCAAAAATGATCATAGATAATAAATAAGCAAGTGGCTATTGCTATGTTCTTTTTTTAAAATAATGGTGTTTTTTAAAAATTATTTTATTTTTTTAGAGAGAGAATTTTTAATATTAATTTTTTAGATTTTGGCAGATACAACATCTTTGTTTGTATGTGGTGCTGAGGATCCAACCCGGGCTGCACGTATGCCAGGCAGGCGCACTACCGCTTGAGCCACATCCCCAGCCCTGCTATGTTCATTTTTTAAAAAAATATTTTTTTAGTTTTAGATTGGACACATTATTAATTATTTTTATATAGTGCTGAGAATCAAACCCAGTGCCTCACACATGCCAGGCAAATGCTGTACCACTGAACTACAACCTAAGCCCCTATTGCTATGTTCTAATGAAAATGTATGTACAAAACAAGTGATGGGCCAGATATGACTGGCTGGTAGCCATCATCATTTACTAATTCCTGAACTGTGTGTATCCTTAATGTAAGGATGACTTAGAAAGAATTTACTTCTCCCTACTTATGGGAACCATGGAAGTGAAGTTGTTTCTTAGACACTTTAATAGAAGATGATGACTGTTACTAATTTGGATCAGCAAGTCAGTTCTTCCACAAATAAAGTTCTAGGAAAAATGAATATCTCACAGTAGGAATAATTAAATCTACAAGAAAATGCATGAAGAAGAACCATTAGGGATGACAAGAACAGTTACTGTAGATATCCAGATTATCAAACATAAATTATAAAATATGATTATTTAAAGAAATAAAGGACCAACTTGAAGATAGCATGATACAGGAAAGTATAAAAACAGATTTAAGGGGCTAGGGTTGTAGTTCAGTGTTAGTGTTTGCCTCATGTGTATGAGGCACTGGGTTTGATCCTCAGCACCACATATAAATAAATAAAGGTATTGTGTCCATCTACAACTTTAAAAAATAAAAAACAGATTTTAAAAATAACCAAATGTAACTTCTAAGTGAGAAATATAATGAAATTAAAAATTAGATACATTTGAAGAGAGAAATAGTAAATACAAAACAGTTACTCAGAAGTCAGTAAGAACTAGATGATATGACAGATTAAGAATCATAGAGGATAGTTGGACTGGGTATGTAATTTAGTTGGTAGAGTGATCGACTAGCATGCTTGAAGCCCTGGGTTCAGTTCCCAGCAAACACACACACACACCACACACAAACACACACAGAAACCATGGAGGATAGAATGACCAACTGTAATATATGTTTAGTTAGAAAAGTGAATGAAACAGAGGAAAAATTTGAAAATATCCCTAGTGGGCTGTGTTGTGGCTTAGTGATGGAGTGCTTGCCTACCATGTGTGTGATACACTGGGTTCAATTCTCAGCATCACATATAAACAAACAAAGGTCCATCAACAACTAAAATAATATATTAAAAAAAAAGAAATCCCTAGGTGGACACATTGTTAAGGAATTAGACAATACTAAAGGAAAAGAAAGGATTGTAAAAATTTTCAGAGAAACTAGGCACAGTGTGGTACTTCTGTAGTCCTAGTTAGTCACTCGGGAGGCTGAAGCAGGAGGATCACTTGAGCCTAGGAGTTCCAGAGGAGCCTGGGTAACATAGCAAGGCCCTAATTCTTGGAGAAAACAAGCAAACAAAAAAACACAACCCAACAAAAAGACTCTCTTCAAAAACAAGGTCATAGGAACTGCTTTACCATATATCAGGACTCATAAAATTACACTAAGTGCATAGACGAAATATTGGCTATAACACCAATATTATTTAATAAATCAGAAATTTATGAATTTATGAAATTTTAGTTATGGTAATGCCTATCTTTATGGAAAGAAGGAAAGAAAAACCCATACCTGATACCTCCCACAAAAATCAAATCCAATTTAGTTTAAGATCAAAACATGAAAAGCAAACTTTCTGCTCAGATGATAACAATATCTTTATGACCTCAGAGTGTGGAAGAATTTCTTAAACACAAAGAAACAAAAAGTATAAACAGTGAAGAAAATTAAGAGTTTGTGTTTACAAAAATACACTATAAAAGAGTGGAAAACTGAGACAAGATATTGGAATCATAACTGACAAAGGAATAGAATTCAGAATAAAAAAATTTGTATTAATAAGATAAATACAGCCGGGGATGGTGGTGCATCCCTGTAATCCCAGTAGCTTGAGAGGCTGAGGCAGGAGGACTGAGAATTCAAAGCCAGCCTCAGCAATTTAGTTAG